TTAAACAAAATTCTTCAAAACTATTTTTTCCAGAATTTTGATAACCAGGTTGATCTAATAAACCAATAAAATTTGGAGGTTCATCAGATTGAATAAGTTTTGAATTAATATGTTCAACAATCCAAGTAAATAATATAGAATATAAAACTTGAGCTAAAGAGTCCCTTTGTTTTATAGCAGATTCAGCGTCTAAGAATATAGTACAAAATTCTTTACCAATTAATTTATTCTTAAAAGTTAAAGTTTGTTCTAATTTAAAAGCTGGTACACCTAAATATTGAGCAACTAAATCCAATATATGACGATTTTTAATAGTAGCAGCTTCATCTTTTGATTTACCAGGATCAAGGAATTCTATATTACCCAATAATAATATAGCAATTAAAATTTGCCAAATTTGATTAATAGTTTTTGATTTAAAACCTAAAGATTTAAGAGAATCACGTAAATCATCCATTTGTAAATTATCATTAATACCAGTAATTTTATAAGATTTTGATTGAGATAAATAAAGATAATTTTGAGGATCTTGTAAATGCATAAGAGAACGTTCATCAGAATTAGCACCAGCCAATAAATAATAAAAAATATGATAAGATCTTTCACCCAAAGGAATATTTGTAACTCTTTCTTTATCAAAACAATAAATTAAAAATTTTGAACCAATAATTCTACCTCTTTCACTAAATTGTAATTCTAAATATTTTCCATAACGTGATGAATTAATATTTTGTTTTGTTCTAGTATTACCAAAAGCTTCTAATATAGTTCTTGCATTTTGAATTTGATTAGCAATTTTTGCTTCTTTTTTTGTATGTGTTGAAAGTAATAATAATTGTGATAAAAGATGACCTTCTGTCACAGTTTTTCCCGAGCCATTAATTCCACTAAAGGATTTTTTTTTTAAAAAAAAAAATAAAAAATAAATGAAAATTATATTTTAAAAAGAATTTTTGATGATAATTATTTAGATAATTCGGAAATTTTAAATGATGGAATTAATT